CCCCATGTGGGTGTGGGTGTGGGTGTGGGGGTGGGTGTGGGGGTGGGTGTGGGTGTGGGTGTGGGTGTGGGTGTGGGTGTGGGTGTGGGTGTGGGGGTGGGTGTGGGTGTGGGTGTGGGTGTGGGGGTGGGTGTGGGTGTGGGTGTGGGTGTGGGTGTGGGTGTGGGTGTGGGTGTGTGGGTGGGTGGGCGGGCGGGCGCGCGGGCGGGGTGGGCGGGGCTGGGTGGGCAGGGGTGGTGGGCGGGCGGGGGCGGGCGGGCGGGGGTGGGCAGGCGGGGGTGGGCGGGCGGGGGTGGGTGTGTGTGTGTGTGTGTGTGTGTGTGTGTGTGTGTGTGTGCACAGAGACACACAGAGACACAGAGACACAGAGACACAGAGACACAGAGACACAGAGACACAGAGACACAGAGACACAGACACACACACAGACACAGAGACACAGACACAGACACACAGACACACACACACACACACACAGACAGACACACACACACAGAGACAGACACAGACACACACACACACACACACAGACACACACACACACAGGCACATTTTCTTACGCTGAAGCTCCTTTTTCTAGGCTTCTGATATAACTCACTGCCAGATGGAGTCAGATTTGTTCAGAGCTTTCGAAAGCTTTCAACCTTTGAGAATTTCGGGTTGCGCAGTAGTGCCGTGTTGCGTCCATGGCACCACGGCCCGACAGACCGCCTCTGATCGGGCCGGGGCTGGGGCGGCTGGGGCGGCTAGGGCCGGCCGGGCGCTTTGTTGCGCCGCTTTCCAGGCGAGCCGCGTGGCCCTGGCTTTGCAGACTCCTTTTGCTCTCGCTGGTTCTTGTGGGGGACACGGCCGACACCGAGTCAGGGACAACCCAGAGGGAGCCGGATCCAGAGACGACAAGAGCGACGACAAACGCCCCTCCGGGCACCCCGCCGCTGCCGCCTTCGGAGTCTGATCCATCTGAGCCATCATCCTTCCGGTGTGATGCGATTTCGATTCTCGGGAACGGGCATGACGTAACCCTGCACCGCTGCACCGGGGGCACCTGCTACGCCACGGACATCATCTCGGCATGCGGGTGCCGCAGCTGCAAAGTGTTGGTTCTTGGTGCTTGTAATCATTGTAATCCTGCTGTCCGGCCGATTGGGCCCTTTCCGCCCATTCCCCTTCATAGGACGCTAGTGCCCGCAATTTCGCACTCTGATGCTGACACTCGCTGGGCTACAGCAGCAGGCACAGCAGGCCACAGGTGGGAGCACGGGTGCTCTGGGCTCATCTGGGCTCTGGCTCCTTAGAGTTGTGCCTTCGAGTCCTTCGATCCCGGCACTGCCTTAGCCCGCCTCAGCCCCTGAACTCTAAGACCAAGCTTGTAATGCTTGCATCGTGACATGCCCAGGGGATATGGCACTCAGTGCTGCGCGCCACGGATCAGCTTGTGTGCTTCCGGGGCAACCTGTTTCGCCACGGTGCAGATTGAGACATGCACCAACGCGGCAACAGTCAGTTGAACTGGAGTCATTGTCATAGAGTCATACCTGTATGGTGCTGTGCTGTAACGATTGCCCTTCTCTGTTCCCTTTCGCCGAGGTATGCCTTGGGCAGTTTGTTGTGCTCCCAAAGTCACGACGTGCCTCTCCCCGTCCTGCAGCCAGAATTTCCCTGCGTGCACGCAGACCTAGCTGTGGGAGCGGGAAATTCCCTTGCGAGCTATGAGGGCAGCTGTAGTCTTTGCAGATTCCTTTTGGCCAAGGAGAGCTACACACGCTTCTTGGTGGGCCCACCTCAAAGAGGGGCTCACGAGAATTCGAGACTGATGCAGCGCGTTAGTCACATGAGTGACCGCCGAAAAGAGGCCAAGGGGAGGGGAGAGGTTGCTGGTTGCAGAACTTGCAGGAGCCGTCGGGAGTGGAGGAGCCGGAGCATCGGGTGCTGCCCAGGGCGGAAGCGGAGGAAGCGGGGCCGTCGTGGCTGCAGTTGGCGGCCTGGGTGGCCTGGGCAGCGGCAGTGGCTGGCGGCTGCGGAGCCAAGTGGTCTTCGGCCGCCTGGAAGCTTTCTCTGAGAGGGCACCGGGGCCCAGCAAGCACTTTTTTAAAGACCGCCCCGCGCCCCGCGACTACGTTCACGGTCTGAGGTCTCGGACATCTTGGACTTTGTGAAAACCGTCCTGCAGTTCAACAAGCTGCAGAGAGTGGACATTGGAGGCCGAGTCATTGCGAGTCGTTTCGCCTCGAGCGCTTGGCCGCCGAGGCACCAAGGGCAAGGTGCTCTCCTCGTCCGTTCGAAAGGCCGGGGGCTGCCAGACGCGGGGCATCGCTCCGCGAGTCTGTTTTGTGTTTTTGTCAGGTGCATGAGGAATTTGAGAAGGCACGCGCACCCCGCGGCGGGGAGAGGAGGTCTAGAGGACTCAGCTCACGTCCGCCACGTCCGCTGTCGCAGGCCGTTGGAGATTTTCGCCCAGGGCCAAGGAACAAAGGGACGTCGAGGCGAAAAAGCGCTGCCAGCCGGTGCTGCAGGTCAGGTGCCTTACGACATCTTCGATGCCGCCCGGCCCTGCAAGGTGTCTTCTTGCTCCAGACTTCGTGGGGTCTGTGGCCTGGGCTGCCGCGGGCACGTCTGAGGTCAAGGAGACGGATTTCATACGGGACTTCCATGCCTTCCGGCTCACCATCCGTGCCCCAGCCGCCATTCGATTCCGCATCGGCCTCATCCCAATGCGGTTTCAAACCGCGAGGTGATCTGGACCGGCGCCTCGGCAGCGTCCTGGCCAGCGCCTTCCAGGATCAGGAGACGAGAGACGAGAGACGAGAGAGGCACGCGAGCGAGCACTGCAGCGGCTGACGCAGTGGATGCGGATGGGCGGTGTTTGTGCCTATTGGATGCGACGTGCCGAGGGCCCCAGGGGCCTGGGCTATGCAGCAATGCCAGGACACCCTGCACGGCCGAGCGAAGCTCTTGGACGCCTTCGAGGCGCAGCCACCACCGCCCCCACGGCCGCCACAGCCGGTAGGAGCTCTGCTCTTTTTGGTGCTCTTGCCCCCACGACTGCGATGCCTGCGCAGGGGCTGCTGGAGCGGCCCGTCTTGCAGGCGGAGCTCGTGCGGAAACAGCAGGTGCCGTCCCGCCGCGGGGTGTTCGCAAGGCCCGCAAGGCCTCCTGTGATTCTGAGGTGCTGATTGGCCAGTACAAGCGGGATGTGGAGGAGTTGGAGGCCCTTCCATCAGCCCCCTCCAGTCCTCCAGACTCCCGAACTTCTAACGCCTTTTCGGCGACGCGCTTCAGGCCAGCTTCGTGGCAAATGTGGACCGTGTGGAAGGCTTCGAAGCAGGAGCGCCCTGTAGTTCAGCGTCGTTCGGACTGACACAGTGCAGTGAGCCCGTGGCAATTCAGACGCGCCGCTGTTCTACAACTTGCCGCCGGTGGCCGGGGCTTTGTCCTGGGCACGCAGCCTCCGGATGCGCCTTCAGGAGCGCACAGAGTCGCGGTTCCGGAGAGTGGAGAGCAGAGAGATAGCAGAGCTCAGCGGTAGCGCTGGTTGTGTCAGTTCTCACATTTCGCTTTTCTGTGCCCTGGGCCCCAGGACCCGATGCCCAAGATCCTGGCCTGCAACGAACTCTTGCCGCGTGGCGAGGCTCCGCCGCGCCCGGGGCGGTCTCGTCTCGTGCTCGCACTCTTCGTCCTGCGTGCTGACATGAGCAGCAGCACTGGAAACACTTTGAGCACCGAAGCCCGATACAAAACCACTTCGAGAATGCTTGCCCTTCTGCTTTGAGATAGGCCTTGCTTTCAAATTTCCCAGATGGCCGGAGCTTGCTTTACAATCGAACCGTCGTGCATCATGTAGCATCCCGTCCACCCCGAAGCCCGAACACTAGAAGCAAGCGGGGGACCTTCGTCAACAAGTCAGCTGAGAGACTAGCAGCCGCAACGTTTTCAGCAACGATTCCCCGATTTGGGGTGATCACGTAACTCGTATCGCGAAGTGACGAATTCGGCATTTGTGTGCCACGAACCTCGGCAGCACCGCCAAAGTCATCGCAGACAGATTGAGTTCAAGCGTCCAGCCTTACTCCGTCAATGCCCGCACTGGACAGTATGGGTGCTGAGGTGAACCGCATAAGCTGCTCTCCGCATTCTTGTCAAACAAGTAAGTGAAGCAGAGTTATAATCGATTGGTTCGGTCGTCTTACGATGGCTCAAGCTCGAGCACCTATGCAGGGTCAGCGAAGTGCCTCTCGGAATGAAGAGAGTGGTCGATGAGCCCTGAGTCCCCCTCTCGCAGAGGTTCGTTCGACATTGTCAGCATGCCATGATCCTCTTGATGATGTGCTATTTTCCGTGCGGAACAACTTCATGTGTCCAACTCTCAGTCATGTCTCTATGGTTACCAACAGTCCTTCCGCCTCAAACACCACTCCCCCCTTTAAACGTGCCCCAAGCATACGCCCCAACACTCTAGCAGAATCCACCACCACCACCACCACCACCAACAACAGCAACGGCGGCAGCAACAGCAACCGCAGCAACGGCAGCAACCACAACAACAGCAGCAACAGGAACAACCGCAGCAAGCGCAGCAACCTCAGCAACAACAACAACCACCGCAGCACCGCAGCAACCACAGTAACCACAGCAGCAGCCACAGCAGACACAGCAGACACAGCAGCCACAGCAGCAACAACAACAATAACAACACCGGCAGCAGCGAAGATGAGTGTGGAAAGTAGCCCCCTACCATAGGCGTCCATAGACCCCTATACAGACCCCTATGCTTTTCCTATAGACCCCTATGCGCCCGACCCCTCCCGCGGCCACAAACCCCTACAGATAGACCCTATTGAATTTCCGATAGGCCCCCACTGATAGACCCCTACGGGAATTCGTGCAGACCCCTATAGATCGGCCCTATCTCTACTTAGGCTCGCCCCTATGCAGCATAGGCCCCTTATCGATTTTCCATAGCCCCCTATCCCGATCGCGATAGGGCCTGTCTCTCAAGCAATAGGCCCCTATGCCTTTCCTTGTCCTGTTTGAAGCACTTTTGACTTGTGCAGTAGCCACGATCTACTAGCTTTCGTGCACGGCTTTCTCGCAGCTAGGAGCCTCCATTTCATGCAGCCACTGGAGTAGCAGAGCATGCGGGAATGTGAAGGAAGTAGGGTTTGCCGAAGCAGGGTTCAGAACCCTGATACCCAAACCCTTGAACGGTTCTTCCACAAACCCTACTTCTTTGCCCTGTCCAAGCGCGGAGCAAAACCTTCGAATGATTTGACATATGACCCTTGAACGCTTCTTCCACAAACCCTACTTCTTTGCCCTGTCCAAGCGCGGAACAAAACCTTCGAATGATTTGACATATGACCTCGTTGCGCAGCTGTCTGTGAGTGCGCATGGACACTATCGCTCGCTACATTCGCATGTTTTGCTAATGATATCGGTTCATCATATATTAAACACCGCCCCTAAATGCGGCCCCTCATGTGGCGATTCCGGTTCGCCATTTAGCTTACACACGCCGCCTCCTTACTTGGTGATTCCGGTTCATCATATCTCTTGACCATGCCCCTTCATTTGGCGATAACGGCTCATCATATGGGAGGTTCTCTAAAAGCGCGGTTGAAGGAAGGAAAGTAGGGTGGCCATATTGATGTTTGGAGCATAGCTTTTACTCTTCGGAACGAGGCCGGGCCCTAACTGGAACTACTTATTCCCCATGCTGGCGCTAGATTAGCGATAGTTTGGCGCTAGAGCAACAAGGTATATCCTCATAGAATATACGGGTTTGCATTAATATATTGTTTACATATGGATATATGTGTATGTTGGAGTGCTTTATTGATTTGGTGGATGTGATATCAGCCTTGTGCGGGCTCAAGTTGGCAGAGCCAGAGCGAGATGGAGGTGCCGACATGCTGTCGTATCCGCAACTGAGGAGCTGCCATGAAGGCAGCTACATGGACAAGAGCCACAAGTGCTCCGCAGATCGGTGTGACTGTCGGGTCAGGTGCCGGATATCCCTCCCAATTGTGAAATGTATGACTTCATTCATTTCCACGCACAGAACTGGGGGGACTGACCGGAGATGGCGTTTTCGTTTGAGCAACGGTGCTCGCATCCAGACTCGGATCTTCATGAGGACATCCTGGACCTGAGCGTTTTGTCGCCATTGACCGTTTTGTCGCCATTGAACGACCCAGCCATCGTGCGAGTCGGAGAAGCGCGACCAGCCACGTGCGCAAGCATGAAGGCAAAGCATCGACGTTCGACCTGTGAAAGTGCTCGACTGCGATCACGTCGTTCGCAGGTACGGTGGCAGTGTGCAGCAGGGCTGGGGCATCCCGCAATGCCACGGGGATGAGGCGTCTTGCTTGAACATCGACCTAGCGAACGAAGCTGGCTGTAGTCAGCGTAGCGTAATAGGACACTCTCTAGCAACGGACGTCGCTTTTGACAGGAAATCCGCAGACGTCACCCTGGCCATCCGGTTGGCTCAGTCGCGCATGAGACCCGGAGAGAGTCTTGGGCACTTGTTTTCAAGGCTGACCCTAAACCCTAAACCGCCCTCAGTGAATCCCGGTGAGGTCGGATCCGAGGTTGGATCGTGGGTCGGAGCCGCGAGGTGCCTGGGCTAAGCGGCTAAATTGCGAACATGTACTAAGTTGAACCTTTGGGGGCCGCGGGGTGAGGATGTTGTGACGAAGCATCGACTTTCACGGGAAACCCATCGCGTACCAATCCTGCGCGGTGCTTAGATGAACGCTTGATTTTTGAACTATTCGCGCACTTCTGGCAGTTTTGTGCATCTGAAGATACACGATCTTGGGGATCTACGACGACTCAGTTTGACACTCTTCCCGTAGTCTGGCATTCCAAGAGGTTGCCCAGTGCGTATGCTACGTTTGATTGATCTTGAAATCCGCAGCGAACTTATGAGCGAACTTATGTTGCGAGTCGTGACCGCAGACTGCAATTTTTTGCAAGTAAGGCATGGCCGAGCTATCACGGACCGCTACCTGCTGCGGATGGGGGTGCGCCGTTTGCTCAGAGGAGCCAAGTGGCTCATGGCACAAAGACTGGCGAGCTGCCCAAAGCCCTGAATCCCGGTGAGATCGGATGCGAGGTTGGATCGTGAGTCGGAGCCGCGAGGTGCCTGGGCTAAGCGGCTACATTGCGAACATGTACTAAGTTGAACCTTTGGGGGCCGCGGGGTGAGGATGTTGTGGTGAAGCATCGACTACTTTCACGGGAAACCCATCGCGTACCAATCCTGCGCGGTGCTTAGATGAACGCTTGATTTTTGAACTATTCGCGCACTTCTGGCATTTTTGTGCATCTAAAGATACACGATCTTGGGATCTACGACGACACGGTTTGACACTCTTCCCGTAGTCTAGCATTCCAAGAGGTTGCTCCGTGCGTATGCTATTTGATTGATCTTGAAATCCTCAGCGAACTTATGTTGCGAGTTCTCGACCGCAGACTGCAAATTTTTGCAAGGCATGGCCGAGCTATCACGGACCGCTTCCTGCTGCGGATGGGGGTGCGCCGTTTGCTCAGAGGAGCCAAGTGGCTCATGGCACAAAGACTGGCGAGCTGCCCAAAGCCCTGAATCCCGGTGAGGTCGGATGCGATGTTGGATCGTGGGTCGGAGCCGCGAGGTGCCTGGGCTAAGCGGCTAAGTTGCGAACATGTACTAAGTTGAACCTTTGGGGGCCGCGGGGTGAGGATGTTGCGATGAAGCATCGAGTTTCACGCGAAACCCATCCCGTACCAATCCTGCGCGGTGCTTAGAGGAACTTTGGATTTTTGACACTTCTGGCAGGTTTGTGCATCTGAAGATACACGATCTTGGGGATCTACGACGACACGGTTTGACACTCTTCCCTTAGTCTAGCATTCCAAGAGGTTGCTCCGTGCGTATGCTACGTTTGATTGATCTTTAAATCCTCAGCGAACTTATATATATATATATATATATATATATATATATATATATATTGCGAGTCGCGACCGCAGACTGGAGTTCACATCTGCTACTGCGTTCTTCGGTTGAAACATTGAGACATCTGTTTCCTTTAGAACAGTATAGTCACCCAAATCCGTCGGTTGGTGTTGCAACCAAGACCAATGATGGTTTAACTTTGTGGGGCCGGCCACGTCCAAGCCATCATGCTGCCATCTTGTCACTCGGATTCTTTGCGTAGTAATTTTGAGGGCATGCGCAGGATTGAAACCACGCAGTCGTCAGAGTCATGCAACTAAGTGATGAATCGAACTGCTCGTGGACCTTTACATCGTGTCTTTCGAAAACAATGAAGTCCTGGAAGTCTGGGGGTGCGAAGACATCCGAGGAGCCCAGGTTTCTTTCACTTCGAAGGGTTTGGGGGCAGAAATAGGTAGTTTTTGTAAGTACCCCGGACCCTAAAGTTCAAGCAAGCGCGAAACCCCAAGCCTTAAGACTCACAGCTAAGGTGCTCGGTGACGCCCCAGCCGTGACGGGGGCATGCGACAAGATGCTGGTCTTTAAGGGTTAGCGGTTTTGTTGCCGAGGGCAACTGCGGGTCTAAGGCTAAAGATAAAGGGCTTCCCCCGAATACCTTATAAAGAGATTCGACAGGGATGGACTTCCCG